TAATCTCATATTATGTTCACCAAACTCAGCATTGAGTTCACCAAGGCAGTTATCTAAAATATTGTAGTACAGTTGATGATGTAAATCAGGTTCACTATCAAAACCATGAACATTAGAATGTCTTACAGTTGTTTCAGTCACTGTTAAGTATTGGAGCAGTTTGTGTTTATACCAACAGACCCAAAGGCAGTCCTGGTGGATCAAGTTTCCAATCTAGATCATTGGAACAACTCATTGGTAGGGGTACCCGCTCTATGGCAGTTCCAAGGAATATAAAAACATTTTCACTCTCCAATTTTTTTTACAGCATATTGAGATAGAATATATTCAAAACTTATGAAATGACTTTGTTGATAAAAGTCTTGTTTCCATATAAATTAAGACCGTCAGTTATTTACAAATGTGATCATGAGCACACAGCCATGCATCAGCCAACACAGTCCCACCAATACTGGAGTCTCGAGTACAGCAGACAGTGTTTTAGAGAAGAAACAACAGCATATACTTATAGAAAACCTCTACAAGTAGATGGTGCCTGTACTGTATTGATAGAGATAACACCAGAGAGAGAAAAAAGGAAGGTTTACATCTGTATTCCTTTACTTTGCTGGAGACAAACTGGGTCATGATAAAAAAGGAAGTGGCTACTTAACCAGGAGTTCCTGGCTGGTCACACTGGAGGTTATGTGAGAGGTGTTATGCCTCCCAGTCATTGCTGACTTCTTAGAAGTGCCACACAGTCCTCAGCCTCCCTCACCTTCGGTGACTGGAGACAGGCTAAACAACTTAGCAACGTTTAATGTCATCAATGACGGCCCCGTGAAGGTGTGGGAAGCTATTTCCCACGCCAAAGTATAACATATGAACAAGAATGATATTAAAGAACTCATAGAAGAAGAAATAGACGCGCAGAGAGAAATTAAGAGACCCGACGGAAAATCCACCTCGGCTCTAGTTGGATTTTTCCACAAACTTCCAGAGACGGTCACACTGGGATGGGACATCGTCTGAGTGAGATCTTACGTGCCATGACAGACCAGATGCTTCAAGTGTCAGCGGTACAGTCACCCACCCAAAAAATGCAAGGCCCCAGAAGATGTGTGCTACAGATGTGTGTCTTCTGGACACCAGGCGGTCGAATGTCCAGGTGGTCGGAGGTCGTAAGTCGGGGAGGAGCTGTAATCTATATGATGAAGAAAAAGACCCCACCACTAACACCAATGGTAGGAGACTTATCTCACTTTTCGGTGCAAATGAAGATGTTAGGTTATGATCAACCTAATGGAAATGTAACTGAGAAAGGAATTAGAATTAACAAGTGGGCATCCATTCAACAAACAGAATTAGTTGCCATACTTTCAGCCATTAAATTTATTTAAATCACCATCACCGACAGTCTCGTCATCACTGACTCTCTATCCTGCTTGCTCTTAACTTAAGTTGTCACGCATTTGTCTGTGAAGCCAGACACAAATGTGGACCTTGTTGATGGAGGTGTCAAGATCAAACTGTTGTTGATCCCTTCTCACACAGGCCTCAAAGAACATGACAGAGTTGATGCCCTCGCCAAACTCACGTCTAACAAAGACACTGTTAAACACAATTTGGGTCTGTCAAAAAGAACCCTTAAAACTGTAACTAGGAAAGAACAGATTGATGAATTTGATGCAAGCAGACAAGTGCAAACAGTCATTAGTCAATACAGTGTTTACCATGATGAGAAGTATCAAGTGAAACATGTATATGGAGCAGGGAACTAGATAATGGAACTGCTAAAGTAAGATAAGGATATAAGTACCTCTGGCAGTATATCCCTCAAGCAGATGCGAAAAAAAACTAAATGCAAAGTGTGTGATCAAACAAATGACCACAAACTGGAATACCACGTCCTTGACTGTGTGAAGACAGAACCTTTTACGGACAGGTCCAAATACACTGTGTGTGAAATGAACAACACTTTATCTCTAAATGGCAAGATAGCCGATATATTAAGACTGCATCCACTTTTTTGAACTCAGTTGCTATATCATTTCCCATCTATAGAACCAAACACACAATATGCCTGAATACTTCTCATGCAAATGCGAATAACAAAGTGTGTGGCCAGGCATATTGCCTCACACTGTTGTACTCAGGCAGTTGTGAATAAGTTACCCTCGATGTACAAAAATAAAACAAACAATGTACAGTATTTGAAATACTCTGTAACATTCAATGTCATAATGTCCTGACCACTGGGGTTAGTTATCCAGACCCCTTGTGACCTCAACTCTGTAATTCTTTTGTGCTACTGCTCACAGGATAAGTATGGGGTGCACAATAATCTGGTCACTGTAAGTGGCAAAATTAATTAAATTTTAACCATCCGCTACATTTGGTTAACAGTAGTGCATACTATTGGAAAGCAAGCAGTGGTCACGTCACCCAGCCACTGTGTCAGCAATTATAGCTAACCACAAAAAGTTGGTGGATGTACTTGATACATGTGAGGAAAATGAGTGTGATGCAGCAGTGTGGCAACTGGATTATTGAAACAGATAAAATGCAGAAAAATTCATGTTTACTGCATACCGTGTGAAGGAATTTCTGCCGACACTTGGACCTGCAGATCAGCTTTTACAATCACATGACTGACTTCATGACAAGAATTCACCTTATTGAATCTCTTGTCAGTAGTGTTAAAGACATCTGGAACAACACTGGCAATGAGAATATCTCATCAAAACTTGATCATCACGACCTTACAGAATACCATCAGGAAAAGCAAAAGCATAACACAAACTGCCCCAATACTTAACAGACTAAAACAACTGTAAGACATTCTAATGTTCATGGTTTTGATAGTGAAGCTGATTTACATCATCAACTGTACTACAATATTTTAGATAACTGCCTTGGTGAACTCAATGCTGAGTTTGGTGAGCATAATATTAGACTACTTACAGTCATTTCTAGTCGTTGGCCAGAATCCAAGACTTGTTTATTACTTCCGGAAAATCTTGTCCCATTGGCTAAACTCATAGGTGTCGACACTGAGTCGTCTCTTCTGGTAAGTGAATGTCATGTTGCTAAATGACTTATTGAAGAATTTTATTGCCCAGTTCTCAAAAACATTGGTGAAAATTTCAAGATATCATATCCTTTCTGAAATGGATTAACTCACATACACAAGCTTTATGCGGCTGCCCTCACATTTGGTACAAGCACTGCAATATGTGAACACTCCTTCTCAACTGTCACGTGCTTACACAATATAGGCATTCAATGACTCACCGTAGAAAAAGTAAGCTGGTCTTGACTGTATTTTGGGCAGACCTTACACAGAAATTGAACTTGGAGGAAAGAGCAGGAAAATTAAATTGTATTGAGTTAATTATCACTATCACATAATGAGTACAGTACTGTGTATATAGAAGTTATTAATGGAAGGAATATTTTCTCATTATTTCTCTGGTGTCAATTTTTTCATAAACATCATCAGTTTTCATTATTGTCTTGTTGGTTATTTGAGAAAAATTAATTTACATTCAGTTGTTCATTGCTGTACTTCAGTTTATATAATTCTTTCCTGTAAATGTTATATACTTAAACTATCATTACATATATGTGTGTGTAGTTTAATAATTTATGAATTTATATACAGTATACATAAAATGTTGTGAGCTGACTCATTAGTTGTCATAAATAAAGTTAGTGTTCTGTTGTATAATTGGTTTTATATGCAAATGGTTTCATTATAGAAATTACAACTAATAATGTCATATATGGCAGTCGTTAATAAATAATCTTGGCCCTCTTGGTCGTTGAACAGGCACCCCCACTCGGTTATAAATCTGACAATGGGTCTTGCAGATAATTTACGATTTGATAAACAGCAACGCCAACACGAAGTCATAACTACGGAGGGAAAATAAAATATAAGAACATAATTCTCACTCATTAACCAATACTACTCAAAAGAACTTGGGAATACATTTAAACTCATATTATGGGATTTGATTCCAACAATATAATTCTCACAATTTATAATGTGCATAGAATAGGTTTAAGATCCTACTTGAACAAACGAAAAAATAAATAAGGGATTTGTGGAGATAATAGACTCATGAATCTGGATAGTAAAGCCTAAAAGAAAAAGTCATTCAATTCTATATTTATGGTAATAAAACCCCCAATGTGAGGCTCTGTCATTTATTGACAAGTTAAGTACAGTATTACCGGAGTCAGTGTTTATAGGTTTAAGAGCGGACAACAACACAGGCTGCCACGTCATATTTTGGGTCAGATTGTTTACAGTAAATAGTTAATTTCTGTGCCTACAAAGCACATAGAGACATCATTTCAGTGTCACGCTATCAGTTCTTCACTGTGTTTTACCCCATAATTGCCCTCATCCTTCATGACCTGTCAACTACAAGTGATTTATGTTCGTATTTACAGAAGAGCGAAAAAAAATACTGGTACTTATAACTAAATTAAGAAGTTGTGTCAATTTTATTAGTTAATATGATATTATGTCATTTGTTGCCACCCAAAGAATTTTGATAATTTTACGGTTGCAATCAGTAGTTTTGATCATTCTAAAACACTTTTATTATATGGCATTTCTGTCACAAATTAAGTACTGTATAAGTGAGATATTTTAGTTGCTGGTTTGTTAACCAACCAGATCTTGGTATAGTGCATGGGTTAGGTTAAGTTGGAGTAGGTTAGGTTAGGTTTTCCTAAATTAATTATATACTCTATATCTAATACATACAGTGCACATATATACTAAATACAAATTAATTAAATACACTGTACACTCTTGTCCGAGATGTTCGTAGGAAATGTCAAATTTTCCCCTAAAATCAAAACTTTTTAATTTATAAATTTGTACCAAAAAATTTCAAACAATAGAATCAAATCTATATAACATTTTACATCCATCAAGCATAATTTCAACTTCCAAATGCTTGGTGGTAACAAGTGAAATTTTACCATTAATACTACATCATCCACAGAACAACTGTGGATAATATGAATCAAATATAAACACAGTACTCTGGTACTAAGGGACTCCACCACCACTACCCAATAATGGCTCAGTACAAGTTATGAAGGTGTTATTTGACTGTGCTGGCTGGGCAAATATCCAAAGGGTATTTGACCGTTAGCTGCGGAGATTGTCTATGATTTTAATGGGATTGTGGACAGGATGGCTGTGGGCATTATTACACTAGTCATTAATGCTTAATCATTATCTCCCTTGTGATACTCCAAGATGTCCCACTTCTCTTATGGACATATAATTGGGTTAGGTTAGATAAACATTTTTTAGTCTATACCTAAACTGTATCATAACTGTTAAACGTTGAGCTGTTGGTTAATAGATTTATAATTTAATCATGTTCTATCTTCCTTTACGTGTTCCTATCTCTACTGTGTTACAATAGTTTAAAGTTATCAATAAAATAATATGTAGTATATTCTGGGGCCACAAGAACCTTAGAACCTTCAAGATATTATATTATATTTATAATTTGTTAGTCAAATTGATACAGTAAAACCATTGCTAAATATATTGAATAATAATTATTGGCATACAATAATATGATATATAAGTGAGGGTAAAATAGTGCTATAAGCCCTGCCTACCTGTTGCTCCTGCCAGCAGACCAACACACAGCAAGTCTCTTACCTTGTCCACAACTATTATAAGTCTCTCTCTCTCACACCACCATAATCCCTGCACACTTATCATTCATACTAAAACACAAATGAGTCCTCACAACACAATATTACACCAATACAAACCAATTTTCTTCACAATATTTTTCTCCGCTTTGTTTACATGGAGGAGGCCATGACACACGGCTCCCTCTCACCCTCTATAAAAGGAACACCTTTTACATTAAATTTAGTTTTTAAATAATCTAACAATTATAAAAATATTCTATAATATTATTAATTATCTTAAATTGTGTAAATTTTGTCACTGTGTGTACTTTGGCAATAATGCCTTGATAACTTTATATAAGGCCTCCCTCCAGCAGGGACCATTCCCACACTCCCTTAATAAAAAACGCACTTTGAAATTTGTTTCTTCCATCTATCTTGCATTCTTTCCTTGTGGTTTTGATGAGAGGAAGAAGAAGAATAAAAAGGATTGTGTTTTGATGAGAGGAAGGAGAATAAAAAGGATTGTGCTTTAATAAGAGGAAGGTTTTAGGGGTAACTATTATATTTGATCACAGAAAACGTTCCTGGGGTAACTATTATATTTGATCAGTGAACTTGGAGAAAAACGCAAGCGTTAAGTCGCAGCCAATATAATAATTATTGACCTCATAGATCAATTTTATGATTTTCCTATTAAACTAGGTTATATATTCACAGTCTTGGTCTGTCCTTCACTGTCGACAAGAGTATTGAAGTAGTTAGGTTGGTTGGTGATATAGAGATGAACCATTAGCCGACCCCACGAATTCCCCAGTGTGTGCCTCGTGGTCTGGGTCAACCAGCGCCGCCATACATCACGGAGCGGGGGTCAACTACTAAGCCACGCCAACCCCCGCTATTTAAAACCTGACCTCGTGGTCATCTCTCTCTTAATACCTCCACCAACCAGCCAGTAACACCTTCTCCTCCTCCGCCTGGCTGGTGGTCCTCGCTCCGGCCGGCGAGCATGGCGACCCACAGGCTGGTCCTCCTCTGAGCATCCTCACCAACCAGCTCTCTCTACATCACGCTTGTAACCATGCTGCCTTCCCAGCACCAAGCTGCATTGTACATCCAATACAACATGTATACAGAGAGCACATTGTGAGTTTCCTTTCTCCATTCCATCCTGAGTGTGAACCAAACATCTCATACCCCACAGGGCTTTTTATGTTAGGGGAGTCCCTCCATGATCCTTGTGTCACTAGAAGGATGATCCCCATCTTTTTTTTTCTAGTTTTTATTGTGGGTTTTTATTATAGTTTTGGTAATATTGGATATTTTTGTTATTTCTCAATATATTTCTATTTTGGTTTATTTATTTTGTTTAATTTGTATTTGCTAATTACTAGTTAAAAATAAATAAAAATTTACCTCATTCTTACCTTAACTGACATTATTTTATGGATAACAGAATGAACATGTTTAATTTCTAGTTAAAGTTTCTCTTATGGACATCAACAAGTTTATCAGTCAGATACTTTTTATATATATCAAACACTTGACCGTCTATGATTTAGTTTACAAGTTTTGATTGTTCATCTTTTAAAATGAATGCAAGTTGTGTTGAACTAGGAATGGATTAAGTAGAATCTAAAAGCAACTAAACACAGAGGTCTACTACCCAGAGCAGTAGATCTGTAGTCACTAACCACATAGTCTATCTTGTTTGATGCATTATATTACTATCAACTTAAAATGGTAATACACTTGAAGTACTCAACTTCATATACTGTATTTACTAAATAACTGTAATATTATAAACCTGGTATTATAAAATCATCACAAAGATGTCTTGGTACTGCACAGTATGGGTGACAATTCCCCAAAATGCCTACAAAAGTTTCAACCTAAATAACTTGGCAACTAACAGTCTTTCAATCTTTGTTTAACATGTTTGTATGTAAATCAGTCATTGGACAAAAATTAATAGCATAAAGTTTTTCAAACTTCAAATTGACATGTTTTACATCTTACCTTAAAGTAACACTAGTGGACTTTACCTCAGTCCTTATGCAATGGTGAGCAATACTGGTACACCTGCAGGAGCAGTTCTGGCACCCTGGAGGACCACAGCAGGTAAACAACAAACTTTTATAAATCCTCAACACAATGCTTCCCCGTCAGGGATAAATTCAGTGACACTACAACACCTCACGTCAAACTTCTGGAGAAGGAGCTCCTCCGTCAACGTGTACAACACACACAATACCTTCCACTTTAAACTTCTGCAGTGTAGTAAGTCAAACTTTTGACATAAGCAAGATATATACATATAAAAGGCAAGACATACAGTATAGCTATTGTAACGGGCCGAGTTACATGTTTTGTGGGCTATTAAGCGTAATATGAATCATTTGATTTTGGCGCTAACTGACGTGTAAGACCGTGGTCATTACAAAGCTTTCCCCTCCCAAAGATTCAATATTATGCGGTATAGTCGACAAAACATTCACAGTAAATACAAAATTTCAAACACAATATCTTGCACTACTGGGATAATGGTCAACAATACAGGTAACACACATGTTACAAAATTTTCACATACATAAAATTTTGCAACTCAAATGAATAATCACAAAAACTCCCAGACATGGGCAGATAAAACTAACAAAGCAATACTGGTCATGACCCACAGAAGAACATAATCATACATCAATAGTACAGACATAATAATAAAAATAGGCCGGCCTTAATTATAGTTTTTGTACATTTGTAACTACACCATTGATCACATATGTATAACACTGGGTCCAAGCACCAAATTCAGCAATTGAGATCTCAAGCTAGGAGTAGTTAGGCGGACCCCATCCAGTCACTGAAGTATTAGGGTTGACCTTACCACGGAAGAATCATTGTTCACTCACGAGACGAGGCAAGATCTAAGTGGTCAGAGCATGGACTCAAATAGACTATAATGCCAGCGACTCGGTCCACGTGAAACCCCCAAAACCTCGGTTCCCTTCTGTACTTTGCAATGCAAGAGTCTTAAACTGCACTAGGTCCATGTACTCCTGTACACGCCTAGCCGTAACTCTGCAATGCAAGCGTCTTAAACTGCACTAGGTCCATGTACTCCTGTGCACGCCTAGCCGTGACTCTGCAATGCAAGCGTCTTAAACTGCACTAGGATCCATGTACTCCTGTACACGCCTAGCCGTGACTTTGCAATGCAGGCGTCTTAAACTGCACTAGGTCCATGCACTGTACTCCTGTACACGACTGTACACGCCTAGCCGTGACTCTGCAATGCAAGCGTCTTAAACTGCACTAGGTCCATGTACTCCTGTACACGCCTAGCCGTGACTTTGCAATGCAGGCGTCTTAAACTGCACTAGGTCCATGCACTGTACTCCTGTACACGCCTAGCCGTGACTTGGCAATGCAAACGTCTTAAACTGCACTAGGTCCATGTACTCCTGTACACGCCTAGCCGTGACTTTGCAATGCAACCGTCTTAAACTGCACTAGGTCCATGTACGGTACTCCTGTACACGCCTAGCCGTGACTAAAGTCCAGCCCCACTACCTCCTACACCAACTTAGGCCTATGCGCATAGGACCTCCAGGTAAACTTGATCACTGGATCACGATGTTCTCACTGCAGTAAGACACATCTACTCATTCCTCTGGCCCAGGTTACATACTGACAATCCCTTCTCACAAGGTCTCACAGTGGCCAAACTTGCATGGCAAAACAAAAAGTTGATGTTCACGATCAACGAATCTCAAGTACTAATTAAGTGCCCTTCACGGCAATTGAGAGACGTGACCGACCAACCGGTTCTGTTCCTAGAGATCCATACGGATCCGTGGTCTCCTTCTCTGTGGGAACCTAGCCGCAGCAACTCCCCCTGGGTTCCCTGGACTGGCCAACCTTTCTCTTCCAGCTGGTTCTGAATCTGATGAAGACTCACAAGGTGGAACCTGAATGTCATTTAACTTCGTAAACATATCCCTACCCACGAACCTTTTCACTTTCTCTGCTGCTCTTTTAATTATCTCTGTTTCGTCGGACATGTTGGTGAGTTCATAGGCGGCACCGTCTCGGATGATATCAGTTACTGTATACGGACCCCTCCATTTAGCGTTCAATTTCCTACTAGTACCTGGAAGAGGTACTTCAGCCCTCACCCATACCATTTGTCCCAACTGGACTTCTTCGTTCTTCCTATCTCTATTGGCTCGTTGTCGGACTTCACTTGACGTTCTCTCGGAAGTCTTTTTTATTAATCGGTGAGCTTCCCTTAACCCCTCACTACTTTCACTTTCTACTACAGGTAATCCAATACCCACTTGTCGGTGAGCATGGCGTGAGAAAAAAGCAAAGTGTGGCTGCACTCCAGTCGTGGAGTGCACCGCCGTGTTCAATGCACACTGCACGGGACCTAAGAACTTGGGCCAACGTCGGGGGTTGTCTTCACACAGGATGCCAAGGAGGGTCTTAAATGTTCGGTGCATTCTTTCTGTAACACTGTTGCCTCGGAGGTGGTATGGCAAAGTGAAATATGAACTAATATTGCTCCTTCTACAAAAACTCTTAAAGTGGGCTGCTGTAAATTCCCCTCCATTATCGGCAATCACCGTCTTCGGGCTGCCAAATACATTAGTGAATTTCTCAAATTCTCGGGTAACTTCTTGGGTCGCTTTAGTTCGAAGGGGGTAGAAGTTAACAAACCTAGAGTAATGATCGAGGACCGTCAACACATAACGGTACTCATTGACCCCCGCATGCATGTCAGTCAGGTCGACAGAAACTCGCTCGAGAGGCTTGGAAACTACCGGTAAGGCCTGCCATTTCTGGGTAAGACCCCTAGTCCCCTTGAACTTCTGACAGCTTTCACATGATTTCACAAAGTCAATACAATCCTTACGGTAGTTTGGCCAGTAGAATAGACTTTCTGTCTTGGCAATGGTTTTCCACTGCCCTAAGTGACCTGACTTTGCACTATTGTGTACTAATTTTAAGGCGGCTTCACGTAAATGATCAGGTACTACCAAGCAATAGAGTAATGCTTTGTCAATCTGTTCTTTCACCAGATATAAAACCCCATCTATCACTTCAAACTTATCAATGGTGGTTTTAGGGTATCTGTGCCTCGGTAACTTTTCCCCAGTCAAATACTGCAAGAGCTCTTTCCACCGTGGTTCTTTCTGTTGTTCTAGTCCAAGCTCGGCCGGTGTTAAGCCCTCTAGCGTAGGAAATTGATCGACT